TGAGAGAGATAACTGTAACGCGAGGCTCCACGGGAAGGAGATGACTGACACCTAACAGGAATGAGCTATACACAGGAGATCACTGCTGCCTGGTTCCCTTGTTCAGAAAGTACTTCTTCTCTTCCACTGCAGCAGGTCTCCCTCCCTGCTGTGAAACCTGCTGGGAGCTCCCAGCCCTTTCCAACCTGCTCTTCACCCTTCCCCCTCAATGCCCTCAGTCACTCATGGTTAAGATGCTGAAGCATTATATGGGGTTCATTGTCATTAACAGACTTTCAGGGTGAGCTTAATCCTTTATAACATTGCTTCAGTGAGAGCAGTTCTGAGTTCATTACAACTTCCGGTTTGGGAATAGAACCCTTTTGTCAGCAGCAACTATGGACTGTTTTTGTAACCCTGTTAGAGGTTTATAAAAAGTTACCTTACACCTAAGGAATGAGTTTTAGTTTGGAATATAACCAAATTATGGAACTTCATAGTATTTACTGGATTCAGGTTCATTTCCCTGTTAGTAATAATTCCCCATACATGCCTAAAAATAAAGAAGTCAAATTTGTAAGACTCATCCTTTTCCATGAGACAAACTGACTTTGTTTCCTGTCTCTTGAATAGAACTAAAATTCAGCAATGTGCTTTTAACAAAACAATCTAAACTTCAGCAGTATACTGTGTTCTGTTAGGAGATGGGGTGGGTGGCAAGCTGTGGGCTCTGTGCAGTAATAACAGTGCTAGGCACTATTCCAAGTTGCTTTTTTAAAAACGTATATTCATTCATTTAACTTTCACAATAGTCTTTTGAGGAACTATTATCACCTCCATCTTACAGCTGAAGAAATTCAGGTACAGAGACTGACTTGCCCAAGGTCTCATAGCTAGTAAGTGGTAGAGATGGGATTTAAGCTCAGGTACTCTGGCTCCTGAGTTGGGGCTCTTAACTGGGTGTCACATACTGTATCACTCTTGCTTAGTTGAACAATGATCGTGATGGTGCCTAGAGGATGCTGGGGTCTGGACTAGACACAAGGATGTGATGTAGTGATTCCCAGCTTGACAGATGGTTGTAGGAGTAGACTGGTGAGGTCAAGGGGTGTTTAAACTTTTACTTATGGAATCTTCAAGCTAAATCTTGAATGGAAGCCTAAAATGAAAAACAGAGGAAAGTGCTTACATAAATGCAAATTGGACAATAGATAAAATATCAGTTTACCTATTAATTTTTTAAAATTTGAAAGTTTGATGTATCCTAGGGTTGGCCAGGGTCTGGGATAAAACATCCTCTCATGCACTGTTGGAAGGAATCTATTGATAAAACATTGTTTGGAGGACAATTAAGGCCATATGCATTGAAATAAAAAATGCATCGAGTGTAAACCTGACTATTTGTGGCAATTTGCTCTATGCATATACTGGCAAATACAAGTTGAGAATAATGATATTTGATATGAGAAAATAATCAACCATCAAATAAAAAAAGAGCCTGTGTGTGTGTCAGTAGAGAGAAGGTTGTATATAATACACAGTTTTCAAAAGAAAGATGTTGCTGTAAAATGCTGGTTAGGAAAAGGTGTGGAATGTACATTATTGAGTGAAATTAGCAAGGTATAGAACACCGTATATCTAAATGATTCAATTTGTGAAAAATTACAAAGCTTTCACACACACACGCCATATGACCCCGTTCATAAGAATCTTCACAAAGGATGATAAGACAACAACAACCAAAGTTTAAAGTGATTAACTTTGAATAAAGGTTAACTCTGTAATTAATTCTATGTATGGTTTGAATTTTTTTTTCAATTTTTTAAAAACCAGGTTCTTTCATTACTATTATAAAATTAGTAAAACTGAATATTCAAAACATGAAGTCAATTCACACCAAACTTCAGGAAGTTAAATTAAAAATTGTCATTCTTGATATTTAAGATTATTAAAATATCGGGATAATGTGCAAAAAAAAAAAACCAAAACACAGATGAAAGTGCAGCTTAGGTTGAAGGTGAGAACAGGGAGGAAGAGCAGAGCCCCACCCACTCAAGCTTTCTCAGAAATCTCCTATATGACACTCCAAGGGCCTTGAGCAGCAGTTTGAAGACTCCAGTTGACCTTTGAATAACGCGGGACTTAAGGGGTACCCACCCTCTATGAAGTCAACAATCCATCTGTAACTTACAGTCAGCCCTCAGTATCCGCGATTCCTCTGTATCCCTGGATTCAACCAACCTCAGATGACGTAGTGCTGTAATATTTGCTACTGAGAAAAAAATCTGCATATAAGTGAACCTGACCAGTTCAGACCCATGTTGTTCAAGGGTCAGTTGGACTAGTGAATGAAAAAGAGCACAGGATCTAAAGTCAGAAGACCTGAGTTCCAATCTGGAATCAATTCATCTACTTTCAGGGGATTCAGTTTTCTCATCAGTAAAATGGAGATCTTTCCTGTCTTATATGGCATTTGTGGAGGATTAAATAAATGTATGCTAAGAGCACTCTGAAATTGCAAAGCAATTTATGGTTTCCACTTCTGAGAGCCTTGATTTGAAAAGAAGAGACCCAAATGGCAAAGAGGCATGAGATGGGCTCTGGTGCATCTTAGGTAGCCTTGAGAATTCAGAAAAATCAGGAAGATGGTGGCCCTAGGCAGTGTCAAGAGGGTGGCAGTTGGAACACCAAGGCTAATAAGAAGTATGTCTCCTTATCTTTCGAAACAAACTGCAACTAAGAAACTCTGTTTTTGAAATCTCTCCTCAATACAATATAAAAGATGAATGAGGAGCCCAAGTCTGCCAGGTTCATTGCTATATGACTGGAGCAGCACAGTGCCCAGGCACTTAGAAGTTTCAATAAAAATCTGCTAAATGAGTTAGGAAGGAAAGTAGTAAGAGAAATTTACTGAGCCAAAGAAACAAAAATGTTTTGTTAAGGCATGTGGCTATGCCTCCAAATGTGGTTCTTGGAGAGGAAATGTCACACCAACTATAGAATGATAGGGCAATAGGGGCACAGGCTTTGGTAATTTCAGTTCATATTCTGTGCTAGAGTTTCATTTTGGACTTTAATATTAAATGTCAAACTCCTCAAATTCACAAGCAAAACAAACATAAACTTATGAGACTTCTTGATCTAACTTTCAAGATGTCTGTCTTTAAACTCTATTCCAATGATTAAAAAAAAATCACATCAGGGACGTTGGGGGGGTCTCAGTTGTAAATGTGGAGAACTGATTTACACTAAAATATTTTAAAACAATGTGCAAATTTTCCTTCAGACTTAGGTATCATACAGAATTCACACATCTCAAGCTCCCGCAGAAAGTGTCAGTAGTGCCAATTTTATCACTCCTACAGAAGCCACTCTAGAAGATTGCTTTTCCTAACTCGGATAATGTTTCAGGTTCCTGTATCTGAAGGCTCTAATAGGCAGGCAACTGCTCAGTTCCAACCACATCCTCCCTGGTTAGGCATGTAGCTGCCTCTATTTTTAGAAATATTTAATGTCACTTTAACCCCCAATATCACAGGCACTACCCCTAGTTCTCTTTATGTGGCCTACAAATTGATGGCAATCTGTATTTATACTAGTTTTAAGAAGAGATTAAGCATTCTTTTCAGTTGAAAAGTAAACGCCTCTCCCCTCTCACCAGTAGGTTAATAAGTATTAACTATTTTGGTGCAAGTGCAAAGTTAATCGTGAATACAATGCCTCCAGACAAGAGCGATCAATTCACTGGGTCTACTTCCAGTTCACAAGTCTGAACCTTTGATGTTCCTCTTGGCACCGCAAAGGTATTTGTTATCTGTATTTCGGACGTTCCTTGAGTCCCAGTTTTCTTTTATTAAGATCTAGGACCACATTGCATTGCCCAGAGTTATATTTAAAGCATTACAAAGCATACCTTTCCCATTTGGATACTAGACGTTGATTCTCTCTGTGCTCTCAAGTCATGGGGCTGAATATTCTCTGAAATGTGTCCAAAGCCATTTTGCAAAATAACCACTAGTACAACCTCTTGGCCCCTTACATGTATTTATGGATACCAAATAGCTCATGCAACTCTGTTGGCCTTTTCATGACCTTGAGAATTGCTTGTTATGAGAATAGAAACTTTAACAGCACAGAGATGCACAGGTCCCCTCATATTCCAAATAAAAAACATTCTTTAGCTATTTTTCATCGTTTGTCTCTCTAAAGCTTCATTTTGCCAAGCAGAACAGCAGCAATCGTAAGAAAATATTCTTTCCTCTTTTCCTTTCTCAGTTACTGGGGAGTCAACTATTAGCAGAACAAAAGATCTGATGTGAAGCATAGGTGATCAACTTAAGGAGGAAATCTGTTTGATACACCACGTCCATAATTCTGTTTCTTTTTCATATACATTTTACAATCTAAAATATTTACACTCATCTCAGTAGCTAGAAACAGAATTTTGTTGCTTAAATTTGGTTTCCTTAAGCTTAACTCAAATACTAATGATCCATCCTTGCCTTTTCAAAGAAAAAAGTGGAAAAAAATGGTTATTTTTGGTAGAATGAACCAAAGTCCTCATAATCACAGTATTCCAGTGTTGGTGAAGAAGCCTAGGTTTGAAATCATTGTTTTATATCTCCTTAATTAGGATTGGGAAATCTGAGATATCCTTATTCAATTTCCCTACTTTGTAGATGATGAAAATATTGGCTGGAGTAGTAAAATTATAGTTGGAGCCCCTATTCTCTGGCTCCTAGACCTATGCTCTTCCAGCTCTACCAAGATTGGTAGACTGTGCAGTAATGCAAAAAAAGGCCAAAAGATCCAATGGTAGTTTTTAGCACTTCATATTAGTATGTGAAGGACTTGACATATAGCTATGAATCACTCCCGATGTACATAATAAAGCAGGCTCTGACATATTTCACATTGAGATAAAATGAGGAACTCAGATCTTCCAATATTGTCCAAATGTCACATCCAAAAATCTGAATTTAATATTAACTTTCAATAAAGGTACATCAGTGGAAAAAACATTATGACTAAGCAAAGAACTTCCAGTTTTTATTTTTTTAAACATTTAACAAGAAAAACATTCAACCAAATTAAAAAAAAAAAAGGTGAGGATGGATTAATTTACAATAAAATAGTCAACTTAAAATATCAGCCCTTTCATTTAGGGCCAAGGAGGCCAAAATTCCTGTTTAAACAGCAGAATTGCACAAGTGATATTTTTAAACTGTATTTGATGGCACAGAAATATAAAAGTCATACAACTTCCATTGAGATCCTCCCTTCCCTCCAGAGAATTCATACGATTGCTTCTTAGGTCAGTACTCAGGCCTTTAAAAATTACCAGTTATATTTTGAAATATATCTACACTTATTCTGATAACGAGTGCTTTTAAAACAATTCTTATAAGAAACACCTTAAAATAATTTTGTGGCACATTAGATTTCTAAAACAGCAAAGATGAAAAATAATGTACAAGAATTATAGTCCCTTGTTTACAGAAACCACCCAAATAAGATACTTTCTCTAATTAGTTATCCTTGCTCCTTATAATTAATTAGCAAGAGATGAATCACAAGGAGCAGAATGCACCATTTTTTTGGTTCTTGGTTGTAGCTGCCAGCTTAAAGAGTTCATGACTGTAACTGTAAAGCAAAATATGACTATGCTCACAAATTCTGGAATGGAAAACCCAAAGTATCTCTTTAAAGTGTTTCTCTATCCTTGCTTTCAAGTCAAGACAAAAAATTCACAGCAGTTTAAAGGATGATGAAAGACTAAACATGGGGCCCATCACAATACATATTGAGGATAATTTTACCTATTACACTCCTGAAGTGAAAGCTGTAATAAGTATGATATTGTATTACCAAGTAACAATCAAGAGGAAGCTGTTGGAGCAAATACAGCACTCAGCAGATCCATTTACAGATAGGCATGGTAGCTTTCAGACAGAACACCTGTCTTGAATGTTTTCACAATCTTGAACATGCAATCTTTAAAAAACAAACAAACATAAATATGTAATTTATGACAGCTGGCCAGGCACTTAACTTGGGGAAAGAGACTTTCAGATTTTGAGGTAAACTATAATTGTTTTCAGCAATCACAAACATATTCTAAAAACTATTTTATACCACACTAACTGAAGTTATTCAGCGTTTAACTACGTTTGTCACTCCTCTGTGCCAAAATTCACACCAAAGTGTAACTTTGTAAGCTATTAAAAGAACATTTTCAAGTCTGAATTTTGGCCCCGTTTAGATACTTCTGTGCTTAGAACGTATTTGAGGAAACTAAAAGACACAAACATACAAGGGTAATGGGCACAAAAGCCCAAAATGAGTTATTTTTTCCCCCTAATTTGACACTAAAGAGTCACACTGTCAGTCACATAGACAAGAGGAATGGGAAGAAGAGGAAAGGGGAGACAATGACGACAACTAAGGTGACAAGCCTCGATCTATCCTCGAGAAAATCACAGAGCAATGCTCCAAGAGGAGCAGAAGCAAAGCTGCGGTCTGTTTATGGTGCGGACCGTGAAAGCTCTCAGAATGAACAAGTAGGAGCACGCCTCAATGGGTTTTTTTATCCTCTGGGTACAGTATGTTTCTTCCCCTCTTCTGAATTCATTTCAAGATAATGTGGAATTTGCTTAATAAATGAAAACTCTTATTAGAAGATGGAGGACCTCAGTAAGTATTTACACATTAGAAGACCAGAACAGAAAGAGGCTGATGTAGAATTAGTCTTTTATCAAAAGTTATCCAAGTCCATTTTTCATTAGAATTATCGGGATATTATCTGCAAATGGAAAAGCCAAGTTTCCAAATCCTCATAACTAACAATTAATTATATTTTCCATTCCCCTCTCAAACAGCAATTTCAACCCAAAGGGTACTTCTTGTTCTGACCAAACTCATCAGCTTGTTATCTGGTATGCACAGACTAATTAATCAACATCCTGTTTTAAACCCTTCTAAGAACATTATGAATAAGGAAAATTTAAAAACTTTTGATCTGAGGCATCCTTATTCTCAAAAACATGAGAAAAAAATATCGGCTTAATTTAGTTTCCATGGGGCTAAAAAGTCTAGATGCTTTATAAGGACTTCTAAGCTGACCCTCCTCAGGATAACAATTTTTTCCAGTAATGGTAAAGACTTTGTGTTAAATGACCTCTTCTCTCCCTACAGGACTAACCACATGCATCTAGCAAAAGCACTAGCTGGAGTTAACGGTGCAATGAGCAAATGTGGAAGAATTTCTTTCTCTGTGATGCTAAATGGCTCACTAAAGTTTTGTAACTGTGACCCTGGTCTATTAGCACCATGCTTTACTCAACTAAAATAATTAACCAAGTCACTGCTGCTGTGGGGTGAAGGACGGAGGACGGGGTGAGAAGGGGACTGAGAGCAATTATATACATCATCAGTAACCATGGTATACAGTGAAAATGTGTTTAACATATTTGGAGAATCAATGATTACAACTATTAAACTGCATCCAATTTTTACAGTTTTGAACACCTGTGAATGAATCTGATACAACCCAAATTTAAATATGAATGGAAGTTCACTGAACATTAGATTATGAATAAGCTAGAAGAAACAAATTATATACATTTCGTAGGTAGTAAACTACTAAAAACAAATAAAAAAAGGGGGAGGTTAGGGAAAAATGAAGTGAAATTGTTCCTAATCATTTTTAGTCTCATCTTTCTCTTGGGAGAGCCCAAAAATAGGTCTCTAGAAAACCAACTTCAAATATGTAAGAAATGACATCTGCTATCATGTCAGTATATCGTTCCCTCAAAGCCAGACAGGTCATAGACCTATCTCAGACATTCATTTTCATTTATAATCGTTTCTGAGACATCTACTCCACTGAAGTATTGTAAAGGAAGTCTACAAACCACTTCCAGGAAAAAGGCACTTCATCGTGAAAGTTAGATTTAATTACAAGAAAGTCGAGAAGACGAGGATAGACTCAAAAAGTCAGTATTCACTTTTGTATTTCTGAATACAGAGCAGATGCCAGTTTATAGAATATAGCTGATAACATTACAAACCAAACAGCAACATTAACTATATTCTCAGTATAACAGTAATTTATGACATTTCTCCAAAAATCAACATAATTCCAAGTTCAACAGTAAAAAGAAAAAAAAAATTGCCAGCAATTGCTACTTGAGACCTCAAGACATTGTTTTCTAAAGAATTTCCTGTTTCTACAGTTTGGTTCTCTGTTTCAGAGCATTAATTGCTTTTCAGATGAAAAACCTGGGGTGGCGGAGGTGTGTCTGTGTGTTGGGGGAGAACCCAGGGTGGAGAAATACTGGGGCTTAACAAGAGGTTCATTTCTCTGGTCAGACAACCAAGTGAGGAGGTAGTTATTCTGAGAACTTCTCAAATAAGAGAGTATTATACTGATCTACTGAGAGTTGGGGAAGTAGCAGGAGCTTCTTTGTGAGACTGAAGACAGCAACAGGAATACTTCTCCTCCAGGGAAGTCCAGACCAGGGCGTCAGTGCAGCTGAAATAAAGATGGAATCTGTATAAATGGCACAGAGTATCAGAGAAACAAGGCGACAAAACCAACATCAATGACCACACATTCGTTTCCAAACTTGTCCTACCTTGACAGTGGCTCTTTTCTGATGCTAGAACTTTAAAAGTATCTGTAAGAAAAGAATACACACCATGTCATTATCATCTGGTTTTGATGTAGGGGTCCTTCAAGCTCCTGGTCAGTGCCAAGAATATGGTATAACATATCTCATAAATAATGGCCTCTAATTTCTAATGTTATCGGAAATGTAACACTGTCTGTAAAATAAATGTTTTAAGGACAGTTTAGGCTGCAGTATTTTCAGCAAGGTTGCCATGAGGAAAGTAGTTATTATTTTATAGTTACAAGGGAGCAGAAACTCTCAGGTAAACAGCAACATGGGAAAAACAACAGCAGCGCTCCTCCAAGCTGCCCCATTAACACTTGCAATTATGTCGAGACCACAAGCTCACCTCGTTACATCACCACACACGGCAACCCCATACAACCTTGAGTTCCATCATCACTGCTGTTGAGTTTTTTCATTCGGTACTGACGTATTTCTCTTACCAGTGTATAAAAGGCATCTTCAACACCCTATAAAAGAAAGAAAATGATACACACAGCGCAACAGACACAATCCAAGTTGAAAGCTCTCGCTCTCATTTGTACTTCCTTATGTGGATTTAAAATCCAATTATTAAATTATTAGCTCATAAAGTAGGATGATTTAGGAAGAGGATGCTAAACTTAGCATTCCTATTAAATTACATGAACAAGCTGGTGTACAAACGGCACATTTTGCAGAAATAACATTCAAGCAAAGGAAAATGAGTAATGTGGGACATATAGAACTACCAGATCTAAAGATTCCATTCAGGAGGGCTTATTCCTTAAACAGTGACTGCTGCTGATGGAGAAAGGACTGATGTTTTAAGTATCTTTAATCAAGGGTCTTCATTTTAGAAATATTTGTGCATGTTAATGCAGAAATAAAAAAAAAGTATTAATTTCATTTTGGGTTTAAACTGAAGATTAAAAAATAGAACACTATTAAAAAAATAGAACACGTTTGAAAAAATCAAAAACAACACGGGGAGAGGGTATAGCTCAGTGCAGAGTGCGTGCTTAGCATGCACAAGGTCCTGGGTTCAATCCCCAGTACCTCCATTAAAAGATAAACAAACAAACAAACCTAATTATCCCCCCTAAAAACAAACAAACAAAGAAACCCAAAACAGCAAAGAATGTGGATCATAGCTCTAGCAAAGAGTCAATCCATCAAACGTTTCTGCCTTAAATAAACCCTTGCCAAATGCTGAAAGCTGTACTATACCTGTCTGGTCTTGGCTGAGGTTTCGATGAATGGAATCCCATAACTCTTGGCCAGTTCATGGGCTTGTTTTGTGTCAACTGTCCTTGTTGGCAAATCACACTTGTTTCCTACTAGCACCATAGGTACATCATCTGAGTCTTTTACTCGTTTAATCTGTTCCCTGAAAAAGGGAATATGTTATCATAACATAAGAATAAACTTTTAGGAAGGAAAAAACAGCTAGGGCAAAAAAAGAAAATCTAGCAAATTTTATCTAGCTCTGCTAGCTTCTATTACTAAATTTCACTTTTTTCCCTACTACTTATAAAAGGCCTTGCATTACTAAGGAGATTGGTTTGGACTTGATGCAGCAGCCACAGGGAGCGAAGTGCCTGTTCACCTTCTATCTTGACATACGCCCCTGTTACGTTCCTTGATTCTCCAAAGAGCTTGGCTCTGATTTTAACCGGCAACTTGAAATTTCACTCTTGATTAAGGTCTGAAGTTATAAAAAGTAAAGCTTACTCCCTCCAAATAACTTGAAGCTCCCTTGAGAGTGTCAGTATTTAATGAAAGACAGTCTGTCCACTTTTCTAGGTGGGTGGTGTCCAAACATTTTCTTTGAACAAGATGATAGCTGGAAGTCCAAGATACAAAAAACACAACTGCTCTTTTTAACAGGGGACTAAAGGATCTGAAATTCCCAGCTGACAGCACTCCCTTCAATGACATGTAAGGCATACCACACAGCAGTTTGGAAACTACTGCTCCAGATTCTCTTCACCAACCCTGGACTTTTTATGATGATGGAAATATTCTCTCGCTGTGAGGTCCAACTACATCCACTAGTCATCTGAAGCTACGGAACACTTGAAAAGCCAGTTGCTACTACGGCCAAGGAATTGATTTTTAAACTTTGTTTAATTTTGATGAAATTTAAATAACCACATATGGTTTTTGGCTACCATGCTGCACAGCACTGTTCTTGACTACCCTTGGATTACATACAAAGTCATGTACTTGAAATGCATCTCACTGGCTATCTGCAGAAATGAGCTCTGGTGCGATGGCAGTAGCCTATGTGAATGAAGGGATAACATAGGACAGACTAAGAAGAAAAATGACTTCTAGAAATTTAGTGAATATTTATTAGGTGCTTGCCAAGTGCTGAGCATTTTATTACATGCTGCTATTAAATCCAGAGAGAAAATGGAAAGTAGAATAGGTTTAGGAGGGAAAAAAACCACTGAAAACCAGTAGCGGACTAATTTGCTTCTGTGAGTCGACATCTTCATGTGGATGGGGCATACGCCAGGACTCAAGGCTCTAGGCAGAACACCTGCGTAGCATTTAGTCTGTGTTAAACTCCGTTCTGAGCAATTCATATATTTATTAACTCATTTAATTTTCACAGCAGCTCTTGGTAGGTACTACTATCTCCATGTTACAGATATAGAAACTGAGGCACAGAGGCTCAATGTTTCCCCCAAGTTCCATGGCTAAGAGATGATGGAGCCAAGTTTCACTCCAGGCAGAGTCTATTTTCTTAACCATTATACTATTCTGCTTAAAGAACACAAAGCTGAGAAAAAGGAGCCCTGGGTTTTTGGTCCTGGCTCTGCTATTAATAACAATCATGAGTACAAAAACCTAACAAACCACCTTCTGAACTGATTCTGTAAAATAAGAATGTTGTACTAGAATTTTTTTATGGTCCAACTGATCTTGGAAACTTTAAGGTTCTACAGAGAAAGAAAATCTTTACATTCCCGTGCCCTGCTTTCATCTTTATCTACCCTCCTTTGTTTTTTCCAACTATCTTCTCTACTACTTACTCAAGAATGTTTCTCAGAGGTGTTTTCCTTTCTGAAATTCCTTTGTGATCTCTCATAACAACACCTCTAGTTCTGAATCACTTCCATTAGTTAGCTTCACTGATGTATTATCACGCATTCTAGCTACAGTAGATTATATAAAATAAATTCCAGTGTTAACTTTCAGTAATAATCCCTAATTCTCAATGTCACAACCTAAAACCAATTCTTTTCATAATTAAAAAGCTGTATCTTCCCTAGTGTGGCTTCCTCATCCCCACTCCAAAACTTTAGAACACACTTAAAGATTATCCTTTCAAAAAAAAACAATGCTCCTAGTACCTGTAGAGGTTAATATCTGCAAATGATTTGCTATTATTGATGGCAAATACACAAAGGAAGCCTTCGCCTGTCCTCATGTATTGGTCTCTCATGGCACTGTACTCCTCTTGTCCAGCTGTATCCAGTATGTCCAACAGACAGGTTTCACCATCTATAACCACTTGTTTTCGGTAAGAATCCTGGGGGTGTGGAGGGTAGGGGGGCAGGGAGAGAGCGAGATTCCATTTTTATTAAAAAAAATCACAGGGAATGCAATGCTATTGCCAAGATTAAATAAGCTCCTAACCAAGTCCATTTCTGTCTCTCTGGTTTGTCCCTCAAACTGCCAATATATAATCACAAACAGAAAGCACTTAATCTCACCCTAGGAAAAAAGCCCCAAATCCTGTATGCCTGCAGCAAGGAAAATGTGGTCACTCTGTTCCTGGAAAGATGAAGTAATTCAAAAGACAGCTCTATCTGCAGTTTGACTAAAAATTCAGTTCCCAGTGTGTATCACTAAGGTATGAACTGGACTTCTCTTATTTGAGTTTTTAATTTTTCATTTAAAATTCTAAACATACCTCCACCAATTATAACTTGGCTCTGGATACAGTGTCTTTTGTGTTTATGACTAAATACACAAATACCTTTTATTTCACACAAAGTTTTAATACCAAAATACTCTTCTCATCATGACAGATTGTACCTTTGGGTAATATTCCTGAATCAAATTCCTAAAGGTTCCAAACAAGGCACAGTTACATCAGGAAGATACACATGCATAGATCATATTTTAAAAAATACTTTCCATTCGTCTTTAAGGCAAAAATTTTATTTGTATTTTAACATTTATGTTCTGGGAATTCCATTCAAAGAAAATAACCTCATCACACTTAGTGAAGATATGGCTCCAGAAACAGTATGGAACATAATTTGCCAGGCCACTGAACAGCTCCTCTGTAACTCTGCTGCGGGACTGTAAAACATTTTCAAATTGACACAGAAATGACACTGCCAAAATTTCCTTGAAGCCTGAAATATGGTCAAGTGTATGACTGTTCTGAGGAAATAGCAAAATTAAAATTATGAAGATAGATTTTAGTCAAACTAACTTATGATAATAGAATACAGAGAAGTGGTTATTTCCTGGCAGGGTAGAGGGGTTTACCAACTAGAAAGGGGCATGAGAGAACTCTCCCGGGCACTGGAAATAGTCTATATGTTTATCTACGTGGTAGTTACCTAAGTGTACACAAATATAAAGTCACTGAGCTGTAGATGTAAGATTTATGTACTTTATATAAATTATTTCTCAACGAATAAAACTCTGAAAAATACTAAAATGTTCTAACTATTAATACTAAAGCTGTTAAGCTTAAAATAAAAATTTTCCAAGGACTAAATTTTTCATGACTATATTCAAGTTAGCTTGCATTGAACACTCAGTGGCTGGGTGTTAGGAAGTCCAGAGTGTGTAATGAAATAAAATAATCTCTAGAGTTAGACATTTCTAAATTAAGTAAGATTACAAAACTCTTCACTTAAAGGACCTTAGATGCCACCTATTAAAGCCAATCTATAACATGAACTCCCACAAAAACAATGGAATCTTTAATAAGTAATAATCATGCAGTGCTCTACCATTCACATTTAACATATTTTTCACAACATCCCCTGTGTGATAGGCAAGACAAGTTTATGGTAATTTAATTGATGAGGAAAATGAAGCTCAGGGAGATTAAATGATTTGCTATTACATAACTAAATAAACTGCAAACAGGGACTGTATTACTAGGCACAGCTGACTCAAAATCTCTCGCGCTTTCTACTCTTACCACAGTCTCAGATGCTTCAACTAGCTAAGAAACACGCATCTCTGAATCCTTTATCTCCATTCTGCTATTATTCAGTTATTCTACCTATGTCTTGTGTTTCTTAACAGAACTGTAATATGTGAAGAAACTAAATGAGTTCAACACAGAGTTTGCAACAGTTTATAAACCTGTTAAAAATTGTAAACTTTTTAGAAAATCTTCAGCAGCTAATAAAAGGGAACTTTTCTCCACAAACAAGCTTTACTTACTGTATTAGTGAACACAATATCCCAAATAACTTTTGCTTTCTCTCCTGATTATTCCTTTAGTTAAAGAATAGCTGAAGGGTATGGGAAAGGGAGTGGGTAACAGTGAACGGAAAGAGAGAGGTATGGTCAGCGGACTACCACTGGGCCTCACCTCTATGGTGGGATCATATTCATCTACAAAGTGGTTCTGGATTAGCTGGATTGTCAGTGCGCTTTTCCCAACACCACCTGCTCCAACCACCACCAGTTTGTACTCAGTCATTTCACACCAGCAAGAACCTGTGGGAAAGCAGCAATTAGGGTTAACTGGCGAACTTCGAAGCTTTCTGTAATCAATAATAACTGAAACCAGAGTTTGAAATGTATCGGTTCCACACACATTCATCTCCACTTGGTTCTTAAAGTGATTCAACAGTGCAAAAACACTTGCAGGTTACTTTGGGCCTCAGAATTCTGGAGTAGCCTTCTAGTTACCCCCACCCTCGTCTATTTTTCAATAGCCCTTGGGCCCCGCCCTCAGCCTAAGGTAAAGGAACCCCCTCTTCCTAGTAATCTCGCAAATCGTCTCAGTTCTGAGGGGAGGCTTCCAGGCTGTCTCCACCTTCTTACTCCCCCGGCTTGTCTCCAGAGCTCCCCCGTAGGGCTCAAAACGAAGGATACCCCCGCCCAGGGCCTTTGTCTTCAGCTCGCAGATTCCGCTCGATTCTTGGCAACAAGGAGTCATCAGTATGCTCCAAAGCCGAAAGCTACAGACGCCAGAACCTTACCTCAAGCTCCGCTGCCTCCGCTTCGGACAGATTAGGACTACAACCGAGAAATATGTTGGAGACCCCGGAACCGCCATGAACAGCCCCCACCAGGGAGCGGCACTTCCGGCCCCGCCCGCTACGTAATCAGTAGGCGCCCCAGGCGCCCGAGTCCCCGCCCCGGCCACGTGGGCCTCCGACCCAGGAGTCACGCGGCAGGCCGCGCCCAGACCCGCCCCCCTCCCCCCATACAGGACGTTTTAATAATGAAAGCACTAGGTGCTAGTGTCTCAAAAATCAGTAAAACTTTATTCGCTTCCATTCTTTCGCCATTAACAGAAAACTGGAGAAAGCAAAAATGTTATGTGTTTACAAAGATAAATGGCCTCTTTACCCAGAGAAGATCAAAACCTCAAACGACAACGAGGAAGATAAAAGCACCCTCCCCCACATCCCCTGAGCTGACCCTTGTCTTGTCATTTGACAAAGCCTTCAGTCCACTGGCCGGGGACCTGTATTTGGCCAATTCAAGATGGGGGCCAAGAAATCAGACCATTCCGTTCCCTTGATATAAAGTCGAACAGAAGCTACACCAAGGGTCAAGTGCCCGTAGTTTCACAGGACACAGGAACCAGGCGGCTACTTATAAAAAAAACAAGATTCATTTCAGGCACAACTTTTTTATTTTTTTTGTTTTTGTTTTCTTTTGAAATCAGTAAAAGAAACTGGGTCCTAGAAGCTGCAGTGATCTAAGCAGCAGCAAATTTGTGCATTCGTCTTTTTTTTTAAATATGTTTAAATTATCACACTGCTGGCACATCTCATTTGCATGAAATTCTGCACCATACATACTAATTGTAGTAAAGTTACCCACCCCGATCCTAGGAAAAAAAAAAAAACTACTCTGGAAGATAATTTTCATTGAAATCTAACCAAACTTTGTTAAGTGGACTGTGACAAGATTATAAATGATATGAAAAATAACATTTTAACATTTGGCCATTGACTTAAGGAAATGGTTTGCCTATACAAATTTTTGTAATTTTTAATATATTCTACCCTCATATGGTCCTCAGAATTAAAGCATAATGAACAGGAAAGAAAAGGAAAAAATGCAACTGAGTGCTAAGGCAGAACATCTTGCCGGAAGTAATGAAGGTAGAGTATATACTAAATACCAAGTGCAGAATTTCATAGGGCCAACAAGGTAACAGTCTATATTTTTCACTTACACAGGCAAAGTGGATTTTGCAATTACCAGTTGCGTTAAATGCTCCAAATAAAGCTCCTAAAATTGATACTATAAGGCGCCACCTTAAGTTTTCCAGGCTGCAACTGTGCATAATTTTAAAATGGTTTTCTTAAATTTATTTATTTTTTTAAACATAACACGAGGAAGGTGTTAAAACTGGTGTAATAGCTCAATAGAATAAGTATTCCAGATTTTGGGAGGGATGAAGAGGGAGATATTCAGAACCCTTCACCAGAATCCCCCCAACTTGATCATAGTGGATTAATGATGTGCTTTGTAGATATGGTTAGTCAATGACACCAGCTTGACGGATCTTTCTTTCTGCACCAAATCCCTGTGAAGAAATAAAATTGCAGTTAATGACTTGGGTGCATGACAATTATGATACCATCCACAATTCCAAAATGGATTATAAAAGCATTACTTTCAATAATCTCAACCACCACCAATTGTTCTGCAGAGGAGGAAATCTGTAATAAACCCTCCTGAATTGTTACCTAAACTATGTTCAAAGTGTCAGGAACACCAAGAAATGTACCTGTCACCATAAGCAACCATTATGTTAGGGTTTATAAGCGAGGCTGAAGCTCCCTGGTAAATTAAACTCTCTAAACTATACTAAAACAGGATCTCAAGTACTATGTTGGTCTGTCAGTTGCCCCCATCCTCTCAAACCTTGTATGCCTGCCCTCTCATACCATTGAGTTATCTGGTCCCCTTGGCTGACGAAGAACCATTAGGCGAGGAGCACTGGCATCATCCAGGGTGATATTCTTCAAGCGATTGACCAACCTATCAGGTCGTGGAGCTGCAACAGCCTTGGGGCCCTCACTGTGACAAAGTTAAGAGGTGAGAAGAAGCAATACTTGGTGGGAATAAAGTACTTGCAGAGCAATGTGTTTTCTACCTAACTACCCAAATGACTCAGTTTTAATGAGGGGGGACTCTTGCCTCACCTAGCCAACAAGCCAGCAAGACAGGACAGACAAGTTTATGTTTTTATTCCCAACTCAAGGTTTATTACTGCATAGGAGCTGGAAGAATCATTTGGGTGAGGGTCATCTCTAGACTGGTCTACAACCAGAAAGACCAGTTTCACAGACATGTAAGAAGTGGGGTATGAAAAAACCTTACAAAAGGAATGTAATGAAATTTCCAGACTCCCCACTCCTCATGCCAGCAATGTGACTGATATATATAAAAAAAAAGTACAGTGCCAGAACTGCTAAACTATAAAGTTAGAATTTTAAGCAGCATATAACCTAGAAATGGCTGAATGGAAGAAAAAGAACTAAGCAGAATCCTATAACAAGGACTATATGATCTATTTATATTTAAGGCTTATTACATTCGAAGTGCCCAATTAATGTTTTACTGAGTCAGTTTTATGAGAGTAAAGTTTAGACAATGAAGATGAGGTCTTTTTTAGGCAGAAGTATTAAGAAATAAGCCAGCAAGTGGCAGAAGAGGATTAAAAAAAGCAGTGATGGAAGAGTGAAAAAATATGATAAAGCAGAGACTGCAAAAGTTAAGAGAGTTCAGGGAGGTTACTAACCAACAAAAACAAAAAACTTACCAGACTCGCCAAACATTACAAGCGCTGCACTTGCCAGTGCGCTGATTAAGAATCACTGAGAATTCCACCTCATCTCCTGCCTGTAGCTCAACACCATCCTGAACTTCTTTCACATGGAAAAAGAGCTTCTTGCTATCTCCTACTTCATAGTTAATGAAGCCAAACTGAAATAAAAAAAAAGACAGTAGCTAAAAAACCAGGGAAAAGAAACTCACTCTGAATGAAGCACAATGCTTAACCCTAACTAGAAGGGGATTTATAAAAACATGCTGTCAGTGCTGATGCTCCACTTCAGCTGCCTAGGCTATAACAGCATGTGGGTTTGCAAAAACTTGTCAGAGGAGAAAGCTACCTTTGAAATCACTGCCATTCACTCTATCCTAGCCTGAGAAACAAAAAAGCTGCCTTGTGCCTTCATACATTGTCTGAACTAAGTTTCTGAACTAAGCAAAATCATTAGGAAGCTATTACTTGAACATATGCATCGTTGTGATCCTTTCTAAAATTATTAAGCAGGGTTATGGTATTACTAGAAACAGTGTTACATTCACTGTACTGATACTGAAAAATGTCCCCTCTGAGGACTCAGAGATTTCCTTGAGATCTCAGTACCAGGAATAGTTTTGTTTGTCCTAAGGTTATTTTATGAACACTTCCACACACAGGTTCTTTCTTTTTTTGTGGTCTGCAAAAGAAGCTGAGCTAAAGTATGAAAAACATTATAGTCTTTCTATTCTGGAAATCTCACTCCAAACTTATTTTCCTCATTATGTTAGTTATTAATACTACTCTTACTTTCCTTTTGCTTCTACTGCCATTTTTTTTCTTTCCATGTGGTTTTCTCCATGTTTTTATAAGCTGCCTAAAATCACTGAAAAGGGGGGTAAAGTACAAATGAAAACGGAATGAATGATGATAGTTTCCCTTTGGCTGAAAAATTTTCAAGGTTTTGGTTATTATTTGGTGATCAACTCAAAAAGTATCAAATTCAGATCTAATCGAGTTATTACCACTTACCTGATCTTTCACACACTCCACTGTGGCCCTACGCAGGGGTGTGATGTTATAGGCCATAGTCTGTGCACTTTGGCCCAGGACACATAACTGGAACTTGACACTCTCCCCTTTTTGCAGGCAATCCCCTTTGTTGGCCATCCCAACTATGCCAAATGGGTAGACTTCACCTTTCATATCCCCTGTAAGGAGAAAGAGGTACAAAGTCTAAAAGCTAGTATTTCACAACAGCCCTCTGCTGATGGTCCTAATAAATTTATAAATAAGTTGCTAAAAATAATTATATTCCCTAAGATTTTTTTTATACCTGAGAACTTCTACTTTAAAGCTTCAATAAAATTCTAAATGCTAAATACTACCACAAAAACAAATGAGAATTTATAGCTCATTACTGCTTTACTAGCTAATGAACAGTTTTAAACCACATTTATGAAATTAAAACAAACAAAAACACCAAAACCCACTATCATTCACAATCTCATTACCTTTGAGCTTTTAAAGCACAATGAGTTGCTAATATAATACATCGGAGTATCTTCTTCCCAAGTTCACAGTATAAACCAACCAGTCAAAAAAAATTCTGATTCATTCCCAACTGGGCATTAAACAACAAGCCGGGCATAGGCGAAAACAATGTACATAAATTTGTTGGCATTCCGAATCTTTTCTTTGTTCTGATTGTGGCTCCCTCAAACCAAGAGGCACCTTTCTTCTCGATCAGGGCTCATTAAACTTTTTCTTAAAGGACGAGACAGGAAATATTTCAGTCTTATAGGATCATGTCTGTCACAACTACTCAACTTTGCTATTGCAGTGAGAAAGCAATCAAAGACAGTTTGTAAATGAATGGTTGTGGCTGTATTTCAAGAAAACTATTTATAAAAACAAGCCATCATATTTGCAGAGCTCTACCCTAGAGTAGTAAGTTGGCTGGAGATCAGTGTAGGCTATGGATAAAAACTGGGCCAAAGAGTTCAACTGCTTATCAGTTCACCTGGATGGTGAATTCACTGAATCAACTAAGGTGGAAAAGAGAGAAACACCAGCTAGAAGAGGAAGCTTCAAAACTGAGAATGCTTTTAACAATACATTCTCTTGAGAATTATAGGGGTAAGTGAAGATTTTCTTTTCAAACATACAGGAACTAAAAAACTTTGAGGAGATACTTCCAAGTCATGCAGAAGGGTTAGAGATGTAGTGGGATTAGTAGTAACCATCACTTATTAAACACTTACACTGATTCATATTTAATCTTTACAGAACCTTCTGAGGTTGAAGCTATTCTCATTTTAAAGATGAAGAACTGGGCTAGGAAAGATTTAACTAATTTGCCTAAGGGTATACAACTAGGAAATGGAAGAGCTGGCGCTCAGATCCAGGTCTGCCCGGCTCCCAAATCCATAATCTTATATTGGGTTATAGTTAATATTCCTAAATAAAACAGCCATTCTCACCACCAAGTGAGAATAGGCTTAAAGATTTCAGGAAAGTTTCCTTTTCCACAAAATCCTTGCTTTGGACTATATCCTAGGCCAGTGTTGAAGAATAAGTGGATTGGGGGTTGGGAATGCAAAAGTAAGGAAATGTGGCATGATAGGAGGAAAAACATAACTTTAATTTTATCTCATGAGTTTAAGTTAGTTGCCCATACTCTCTCTCACAGCCCCTATAAGGGTATGGTGTCACCATGGCATCAATTTATCAATTCATATTTGGAGGTGTTATGTGTATGAGGGTACTGGTTCTATGAAAAACAGAAATTCCAAAGAACCTCATGTGATACAGGAACATGTTTATCAAGGCTCATTTCCTTCTCCCAAATGACCTGCTCTTCCCCACTTTATATTCTCTTATGACTTCCAGAATGCACAAGATTTATTCTCTTTGTGAGTCAACCTATCAT